CATGTACATGGGGTGCATGCTTTAGTGCTTGTAGGGGCTGATTGGTCCCTGAAGGGATGTGTTCAGAATTCGCTTTGAATTGCGACTCGACTTTGCTCAGTTCAATGTGAAAATGATTGATTGGTTCTGTTCGTATCGCGTCGCGCATCGCAGGATTACGACGGAAGATTGGAGTGCGCAATTTGTGAGAGAGGAAGTCCTTTAATTATTTGAATAGGCTGGCCGCTCTCTTCAATTCCAATGCGATCTTGATCGTCGCCAATATAGGAGTCACTTTAACTAATCAAGTCTAATAAACATGAAAACGAAAAAAACGGTCAAAACTGATTAAAAGGAAGGCAACCAGCGAAAAATATTGCGTCATATCGATTAGCGGAGAGGCGGTGTGAGTATGGTAGGGTAATTGCAGTGACATTTGCCGCATGCCACCAGGAGGATGCCGCAATCAGAAAGAAGTTCCGTTACCCTTACTGGGACAGTCCTAAAGTGAGCAAAAGGTGGTTCCAGGAGCAAGTATCGTAGACGCGCTTTAAGCTTCATTGTGTTAAGGAGCACTGTCGTTTGTGCACTACGACTACAATCCTCGCGTATCGGAAGTTGCTCTCTGTTTCCACAAGGTAGTCGTGTGCGATCAGCTAAACTAATCTCCCGGAATCGCGTTATAGTTCTTCCTCGTGATCTGCCTTCGAGCGGTATCATTAGAATCAGGGTGGTTCTCAGTGTTTCATCTGCGAGACCTGTTATGCAAACATGAAGAGTTTCTCTCTCAAAGGTATCCTAAATGGCCCTAACCGGACAGATTAGTCTTTTCGAAACATTTCGTTGTCGAACAGTTCCCACCTTGTAGTTTCCACGTAGCTAGCGAAGATGGCACCCTTCCTAAATAAGGCTGGGATGCAAGATCCTGGAACCCCGGAGACTTGCTTGTTCTAAAACTACTACACGTAATGTTCCTTATATTCTGCTCGCTCAGAAAAGCAACTTTTCTGCTCTCAGCACTCGGCTATTTCCTCAATTTCCTCCTTCTTATCGAATTTTTCGAACCTTTTCGTAGCTTAAAACTTCTGGTTCCTCTAGGTATATCATTGAGCGATTTTCCTTATTCATGTTATCGCCCTTTTCTTTCAGCTACATTAAAGGCACAGTTAACGATAATTTTGGGCAATTCAGATTATGACGAAAAATGGAAGATAAGGTGGAATATAGTGCGATGAAGGCGAAGAAACTGCGTAAATCGGTGCTTACAATGTGGCAAAGGGCTTTGAAAAATCGTTAGAAAGGGGGGCTGGATGGGAAGAAGTTCAGAAAAAGAGCGAAGAATGGGGCGTTTGGACGAATCACACACTGTGAGTCGTTGCGTACAAGTGGGTGCTAGTGCGAAGCACTGACTGCTGTAGGAAAATGCATCCACTCATAAGCATAATATAAGAAAAAACCATAGTGTCAGCATACAGCTCCCTTTCCAGCCTCTAGAAGTAGCTCTTGGGGTAGAAACTCAAATTAGGGATCGCAACAGCAGAAAGGATGACAGAGAATGGAAGAACAGGAGAAAAACAACGCTTCATCACTCGGCGATCAGCTGATTGTGTGCGGGTCCTGACGCAAATACTTGCAACCTGTATCGCCTCGACACTCGTCTGAAGTGCCATCAGTCGAGGGGAGGGAAGTCCGCGTGACCGGGAACGTGGCTCACACTATCCCTAACTGTAGAGATTTTGAGCGCGAGTGGGTCTTACCATTACCCTCGCGGGTCACTGGGTATTCCTGTGGGAAGGACTCAGTAACAATTTTTATCGTGAATTGTGCCTATAAGGATCTAGAATCTATTTAAGGTGAATTGTGCCTATATAGATCTAGAACCTATTTAAGGATTTATATAGTTTTCTTCAACAAGCTTTTTTTTATGAAATCTGGGCGTCCACAGGTGATTCTGCGTAGCTTCAAAAGAAGAAGCTTGCTCAAATGGAGATTTGGAATGGCTAAACTGAAAGAAGAACCATGGCCTTCCAATAACAGCCGATTAGTATTCCAAGCATTTTTAAGTGACCATAATTGCCTTCAATTATATGCAATCCCTTTCACGCTGTTCCCATTCAAATGGATTCCATGGAATAGCGTTGGGTTTTGAGAGGACGTGACCCCTCGAAGGCCTATATAAACTAAGCAAGGACTCAAATGATGCGTTCTCGATGCTGCTTCAATCCTACATGTCAAATCAATGTATAGTTCCATTTTCTTCCCGCTTTTTTTTTATTTTCTGCTTTGAAAAAGTTCCAGCGGAGGTGCTGTAGTGAAAAGTAGCGCCCTTCACACACGCATGGTCACGGGTTGGAATTTTGGATCAATATCCACCTAGGTCAGTAAAGCTTTGATTCCCTCCGTAGTTCACTGGTACCAGGCTCGCCTGGGAGGATAAAAGCACCGACTTATGCATCGGTCGGACACTGCAAATCGTTGTATAGGTCATATACACATTCAAAACGCCACTTCGATTCTGAGTGGAAGTCGAATGCATGGGTGCATCCCTCTGATCAATGTCCCAAAACCTTAACTTTTTAGCCTTTATCAAAATTCCGAAAGCGGTGACGTCTCAAAAAAACGTGAAGGGAGTAAAAGTGCTTTGTCTGGACTGTCTTACTCATTCTATGGATTGCATTGTATTCTGCTTTTCTTTCAATTCTATCCACATTTATACAAACTATTGCGCTGCTCCAGTAACATTAGTTCTTTACAGGGAACAAGGCCAGCAATGGCGCGTTACTTCTCCATTCCTTTGCTACTGGTACGGGATTTTTTGAACGTTTTGTAGCGAGCTATCTGTAGAGGTATTACAACGAAGTGGTAGCTGCTTTATTCAGATGGCTCTGCTGATGATTAGTACGGTGATTCCGAGCGTTTCTAGCAAGGAAACAAGCCTTGATAAGAAGAAACCGTGAGTACTTTCGGTGGCTGTTGTTCTGTTGCAAAAAAAAAACTTACTCGGAAAGGCGAAATATATGTGAGTAATAGAGAAGTGATTTTGCAGTTCTTTCACAAAGATCAAATTACTTCGAGGCGGGCGCAGAAGGCTGAAGCTTCCAAAGTGCGAATCGGGTTCTATTTTCACTCTTGCACTTTCTTCTGATCAGCCCCAAGACGTTCTAACCACGGTGATTTCAGAAAACCCAAGTAAACTACCCAAGCGTTGCAATTCAACATCAAAAACCGGATTACACCAGTCTTCTCAATGGAATGCTTCGATGGCGACGCTTATTCCTAAATCATAATAAAGTTATCAAAGACACTACCTCATATAGGGTAAATTTCAAGTATGACATGAACAGACCCAAAAACTCAATGTACGAAATAAAATTAGAAAGTATCTCAGTGAAAGATAGAAGGTAAACGTTTTGGTTTCCACATTGACTGATCATAGTCATCGTTGAGTGAGCTTCTACAGTGATTCATTCCCGTAGGTCCGTTGAGCTGGAGGACCAAAGCGGCCAAATCTTTTTATCCTTTTCTATTTCTATTTCTGCCTTCTCTTAGAAGCTTATATAATTACTGAACATTCCCATACTGACCGCGTCTTCCGTGCGTACAAAGTCAGCCCTACAAGCCAAGTGATCATCGATGTTTCGCAAAAGGTGTCTGGCTCTATCCTTAGACACGTGCCGTAAAGGAAGACGAGCAATATTGCTTTCCTCTTATTCAAGGAATCAATTTCTGGGGTAACGGTATTACTATCCAAAATCCCTCTTGTTTATAAAGCGGTAACTTGGTATGTCGGTATGTCGGTCTGTTCGCTGCAAAATGGTTGTGATTACGATAAAGGTAGTGATATGAAAAACACAACACTCGCGTTCCCTTCTTATATATAAAACAGTAAAGTGGTGGGCAGGTTCATGGAGTAGAGTGAGTGGTGCGAAATGAAGTGAGTGATGGGGGTGAAGTGTGTGTTCAAAACTGTGATTTCGGCCTGTACTGGTATCGTACTATGTACGTCGACCAAAAATGAAGGTAATAATGTAGATGGGAGGCCTCCGCGCCTCTTCTTCCACATTGAGCGCTAGAGCGCAGAAGAGGAATACTCATAATAATTGTGCTCATCAACGTTTCTTAGCCGAGAGCATACAGTTTTTTGACCTGAGCTTCAAGAGGGAAGGAGCGGCGCCGGGATGGATGAGACAATTGAATATTCAACTCATACCCCAATGCCTCAAAGAAATAGTTGAACCAGATCCCCTCCTAACTCAAGATTAAGGCATGACTTGTTCCCCATGCTTTCGTACAAAGGAATAATCTGATTTAGGCCGTGATATCCTTGAAAAGCTAGTTCTTTTGCGGAATTGCGGAAAATCGTTGAACTGTACGAGGCCATGCGAAAACACTTCACAGTAAAGTAGCGTGTATTCTAGAAGAAAATCGTTCTCAGAGTCTTCCGGGTAAAATCATGTTGGGAAAAACCCGTAAAAGCATTATTTTACTGCACGATTTGGGAAAACAAAACTGTCAATCTGTAGTGATTAACGATTTCTAATCTTTCTGCGTATTTTCTCATTGAGCTCTAGGAGCATGAAAGCCTAGACTTGTACATAGTTTGGCCACCGCAAGTCATTGTATAGGCCACATACGCATTCGAAACGCCCTACGATTCTAAATGGAAGTCAAATGCACTACCGCATCCCAGGAACGATACTGATTTCCTCGGGAAGCTTCCCTTTTTTATCTTTTTCATTTGTAGGTACATACCTTGTTCATATATGGAATGACAAAGCAGAAAGTTCGATCGAGGAACAATTTAAAGGCACAGCTCACGATAATTTTGAGTAATCCAGATTATGATGAAAATGGAAGAGAAGATTGTAACTAGTGCGACTGAGGCGAAGAAACTGCGTGCATCGGTGTTTCCAAAGTGAAAAAAGGCTTCGGGAAACCGTTAAAAAGGGGGCTGGACGAGAATGAAACTAGAGAAATGAAGAAGAGTGGGGTGACCGGACGAGCTAAACAGTGTGTTTCACTTCGCGCATGTGGGTCCTGGTGCGAAGAACATACAATGGTAAGCAAAAATTCATTCCCTTATAAGCAATAAATAGCAATAATATAAATAAACAAAAAGCCCTAGTAACAGCAAAAGTAGCTCACCTTTTTCACCTCTAGGAGTAGGAAATTAAATAAGGGATCGCGGCAGCATAAAGAAAAACAATGGAAAAAAGAATGGGAGAAAAACATCGCTTCATCATTAGCTGATTGTGCATGGGTCCTAAAATGAATAATAGCAATCTGTATTGTCTCGACACTCGACTAACGTGACACCTATCGAGGGGCGGGAAAGCGAACTACGGCAGCAACGGGGCTTCCACTATGCCCTAAGCGCCGAGATTGTGGGAGTGAGAGGGTCCCTTCTATCACCCATGGGGGGCGTGAGTATTCTCAAAGGAAGATCTCAGTAACCTTTTCATCGTGAACCGTGCCTTTAACAGAATCCTTTCTTGAACAGGGCCATTCGTTTCCGTTTCTGATTCTCTTCAGTGATTTCCAGAAATCAGCCAATAGCTCTTTTCGCATTCCACAATATCCTACTTTTTTCTTCCATGGCTGCTTTCATAGCCCGCCGGCCGGACGGCGTGCCGGCGGAGGCAGTGCTAGGGGGGAGGAGGGAGGCAGGCAGTGTAAGGCAAACAGTCCACGCCCCTTCGAAGGTTGTTTGTTTTCAACCCCTCGAAGAGGCGTGGACTGTTTGTCTATCCGTCTGCCTCCCTCCTTCCCGCTAGCACTGCCTCCACG